CGTACGAAATAGCGGAATTGAAAGAGAGATTGAGGTATGACCCTGAGACAGACGGGGTCAACCACGTAAATGAACCTTGATGACCAGTGTATAAAAGTTAATAAATATTATTCAGCAACTATTTGGCAATTGTGATATTACACGAGAATAATGGCGGGAAAGGGCTGAGTAGCGAGTTGCTTATTAGTTCACTTAAACCGTCACCTCCTTGCTTTCACCTCATGGAAAACTTGAGAAAACACTGTTCCCAGATGATCGAGTTTGTCATAAAAAATAGAATCTCTTGCTTATTCCAACAAAAATAAACGGAGTTTTTAGATAACTTTGTCTAAGTCCACTTTCAGACACTTTAACGACAGAAAACCCTACTAAGTTTTTGCTGTTGTCTTAATTTACAGGAAAGAGCACCGCCAAGGCAACGAAAAAGTTTTTTTGCGTAAACAGTTTCGTAAGTGTGTCCAAAGTTTTTTTCGGGATTTATTGCAATTTAAGAAGTCATTTTTAAAGAAAAAGTCACATGTTGATCGTCATCTACGCTGGTACCCATTTCAGCCACCTTTAAATTGCCTGAATGTAGGTTAATTTAGCGTTTACCAGTTTTGAACTGACTGTTCTGATGTTTATCGACCCGCTGGTCTTACTTCTTCATTTTACATTCAGATTGCTTCGTTTCTGAGCTTTGATCACTTAGCAAATGCTTCGGATTATGTTGGCTATTAATTAACCATTTCTACCGCTGTTTCAGAGTGGATTAAAAATACCGAATGAAACACCTTTAACTTTAAAACGAATTGCTGCATCATGACTGTACAGATTTATATATTTGGCAGTGATTCTGTTTTGAACTTATTCAAGCCAATCACTGTCCTGTGATGAGAAAATATATGATATTATGCCTAGTCACGCTCTTTTCCGAAACAAGTACAGCTCTTGTCTACATTTCTTCGGTTCAGAATTTCTGCCAAAATATATCAGGAAGATATGGCTTCAACTTATTGGAGATATGTTTGCTATTTGGTTGCTAAAGGATGGTTTCAAAAATCGTGTGGGCCTGGGTCCTTGTTATGCAAATATTTAGAAATGATGAAACTCACTGTAACTCTTTCTCTCATGTTTTCCAACCTTGTCGCTGTTGCCCAATATGTAACTATTAATTGCGCTTATTCGGCAGTAAGGCAATTGCATCAACGAAATATCGCCCTTGGCATTGAAGTTTAATTGTTTCGACACAAACTGACATTCAGTGTTCTCTGGATGGGTTATCGGCAGAGTGACGTGGCCTGTAAGCGGCTAAATGTGCTTAGAATGTCTAGAACCAACATTCTAGTGCCTTCTCGTTTATCTGCCCACTGCGCTTTGAAAAGATTCGGGTAACGCTAGACTGTGCTTAATGGGGATGGAATACGGCAGGAAGAAATTGACCGGTGAATTGTAATGACAGCGGCGTTCTGCGTGAAGTAACCCGAACGACTGTGAGGAAGCCAGAACTGAGTCTGAAGACTCAGCTGTCGTTGTTCAGGTCGATGCTCATCTGCTCACCTGCGGTCATGAGTCGTGGGCAAGGAC